ACTAGAGATATTAGAGGCTAGAGATGTATTGCTGGTACCAAGTCACAGAGTACAACAGTTTCAGAGACACTTGTAAGCAGGTGGTCAAGAATTCATTCCGCAGAAGCATTCATTGTTCTCTTTACTTACTTTTAATAGCTAGAGATTGGGACCTGCGTTCTGAAAATCTGCCCTCTTTAGAAACATGGTGTTGGGCAGAAGGGACATGGTGGACTGGGGTTGAGCACCTCTGGATGCTGTTTCTAACCCTGTCACCTGTAAAGCCACAGAACTCCTCTGGGAGACAAGATACAGACTCTTCTGGGTTGGACGAGCCAGGCTGACGGTGCTGTTTCACGTTGCCACCACATTAGTGAGTATTGCTTTCTATAAAGCTAATAATGCTTGGTAACAATCTGATGACGGAAAGGTGCCACCATGCCAGGGCTCTAGGTTTGCTGACAAATGCTGGCAGGACTCCTTCAGGTGCCTCCCACACAGGGCACACTGCTGAGTCATCACTTCAGGCGTCTAGTCTACGTGATACTGTGGAAGAGGTCTGTGTGGCCAAAGTCAAAAGGGCACAGGTTTGTTAGCCTCTGTCTGACCCTATTAAAAACCTGCTGGAGTGTGACTTAGGCCGTGTAAACCAAATGTGTTGGCTGGGAGCCCATCAAGATTCCAAGTCTCCTGTTCAACCAGGAGGTACGCAGGAGGGGAGATCTGTTTTACTTGATTTAGTCTCTGATAGGGATTTAGGTAATCTGGAGCATGGAGATGCTAAAATGCACAACGGGGGCTTTGAAAACTGATGTCTCTTCAGAGTGTCATGAAAAGAAACTCAACTTTTAAGAATAGATGATCTGATCTCTGAGCCTGAATGTGAATGTCCCTTGGGGAGGTCATTTAGCATCTTGGCGCCTGTTTCCCTCTAGAATAAGAGTTTTCAATGAATAACTTTTCACTTTTCTTTGACCCCTGACAAGCTCAGATTCTGTGTGATACAACAACTTTAGGAGATAGGCCAGTGGGTGTCTTGGATGTCAAACCACATCTGAGAAAAATCAACCAAAATTTAATAATCCAACCTTGATTGGACTTCAGAGAGATGAGAGCGTGTTATGGGCAACATTTCTGCCTTGGGCTTTCCCTTAATCCAGGGGGATTGTCTGTGTGCGTGAGAATAGCGTGTGTAGGGAAAAGAGTGATTATGGGGGGCTCAGACTCTTTATTGTAGTTTAATTTTTTTTACCTGGGACTTCTATGTGGAGGTTTCAGGGTCATAGTATTTTAAATGAATAAAGTATAGCCAGATCTAAAAGTAATTGGATGTTTTTAGTTCTTATGGGAAGTTTAATTATCCATGTGATCTTAGGACCTAGTGTTACTGCCTTGTGTGGAAATTAGCGTTCATTCTTTCCGTGCAGCCCGTGTATGGGAAGGTCTTGCTAGTTTTACTGTAGCATTTTCATCACAGAAGCTTAGAATTTGGCAGCTGTCTTGCCTTTAGATGTCCATATCTTGCTAACACCATTTTTCTGAACGTTCCCTGTTATACAGGCTCAAATTTAAAATCACCTTTTGTGTGCCATTCTTTATTTCATTGGCGCATCCCAAGGACTATTTTCCCTGACATCTGGAGGTCACACACTGGTTCCAAAGAGGGATAAGTGAAGTTTGGGTGCTGGGACCGCAAGCAGCGGAGTGATGGCAGCCAGAATCCTTTCACTCTTTTATCACCAGTGAGTGGACGAATGTGCTCTGCTGTTCCAGGGCCGCCCTTGCTCAGGGCTGGTGTAAGTCGTCAAGTGCCCCAGCAGGTAAATGGTGCCATGGCACAGGCAGTTCCTCAGGAAGAAAACACACATCCTGTGAATGATTAATCTATATGCTGCCAAAAGCCACAATGATTAACACGCACGTTGTGAAAGGTTTTGTAGAGTGTCATAAAACTTTATTTTATAGTCTTGCTAAGTGTAAAGCATTCAAGAAGAGCGTAGATGAATGAAAGGAGCCCAGCAGACAGGAAGGGGAGAACATGTCAGCAAGGTAATGATTTCCACATGAAATCAACCTGGGGCCAAAGTAAGAGAGATGTTTAGCTACAGACCAGTTACGGTGCCTTTGCGTGGGTTCTAGTTACTGAAATTTCGACTTTCTCCATTTATGCTTCCAGCTCGATGCTATCTGCTTCAGAAAAGTCATTATGGGACTCTGTAACAACCCAATTCATGTTACTTAGGACGTCAATCATTTCTGAAGCTTCTATAATCGCCTTCTAAAACGGACACTTCTTTTAAATATTTTAATAGTGTTTTAGACAAAGGCAAAATAATATATAGCCCCGCCTGGTGATGAGGTGGGCACTTAGGCTGGTAGTTCATTTCCCCCTCTCCCTTTCCTCCTCCTTCCTTTCCGTATCGTCCCGTTCTCTCCCCCCTTTCATCTCTCTGTTACTTCCTCCTATCTTTCCTTCCTTCTTTAAAAAGAGAAATCGGATTAAACTGGTTTTGTTGTTGTTGTTGTTGTTGCATAATCTTTTCTGAAGACCTCCAGAAGCAATTCCAAGTAGTTCAGGACTATTATAGGAATGACGTGTTTTGCAAGCTCATGATGGTGGATGCTTTTCTTGGAGTTTGTTACAGTGCCGGTTTTGTAAGTATATTCCATAGAATAGGGATTTGGGTTGGGTTTGGAGTTATTCTCAACTATAGGAAACCTGGATAGCATCTTCAAAGTAATGACAAATTCAGGGAAGCCACACTGACTGGACTAAGAGGTCAGGAACAGAGCCAGGGATGAAGAAGATGCCATGTGGGAGCTAAGTGGGCCAGGGATGCTGCACTCTACTGATGGAGGGTGCCCAAAGAGAGGAGGAGCTTGGGGCATATGCTGGACACATAAAGGAACAGGATCTGTTGAATGCCATGTTGCTATGAGACCAAGGGCAATATGGTAGAAAGCCTGTGGGGGCCTAGGATGTTGCTTAAGTATTACTTCTGATCAAAATTAGTAATATAATATCAAGCAAATAAGTTAGTGTTTCTCCTTCTCAATACATAAAATTAAATTATAGAAGCAAATGATCTTAGGGTTTCTTCCCAGATTAAACTTTATAATACATATCTTTATAAGGGATGTTTGACATATATCTTCAAATATTTGAAGAATGCTCAGGGAAAAGAAGGACTAGACTAAGACCATAAAAATATCTCAAGAGGAAACGAGTTTTGAAGAGTTGCAAAGGGATTGGAAATCAGTTTTAAATAAGACAGACTTGTGAGATGGCTGCCTCGAGGGTGGAGGACACCACAGCAAGTTCCATCAATAGGGACATTAAATAGACGCCCAGAGGACCAAGTCAATGACGCTGTAGAGAGAAAGCATCAATTGCAAGAAGCGACAAGCTAGCTGACTTGAAAAGTCTCTGTTCAAAATTCTAGGAATTTCTACTCTTTTGGAATCTTCTATGCTCGCAGCTGGAGCGCTCCAGCTGCAGACGACGGGGCATGGCAGGCATAGCAATGCATGCCCTTCCTAAAATGAGAGGTGCCCTTGAGGGGGTTGGTTCGTGCTGCGTAGACATCTTTCCAGTTGCTGCAAGGATCTACATACCTCCCTGCAGCCTTGCCTAACCTAACATAACCTGCAGCAAGCAACGTCCCCAGATGTGTGGAAGAAGAGTTAGAAGAGGGTTCCCTGAGCGGCCTCTCCATGGCTTTGTAAAGTGCCTCCTTGGCTTCTTACCAGAGGTTCGTCTCACTGGCTCTCAGGCCCACAGTGCAGGAGTGGCGTGTCACGCGAGCACGGAACTCGTCCCTATTGATTCCGTGGGCCTTGATGGTAAAGGGACATTAGTTACAATCCATCCAGTTGTACTAATGCACTTGCAATGAGCAGGCCTGTGGGGATTCCCAGTAAAGGAGCCGCTTCTTAGACCCAGCAGCTTGCAAAGGACAGGGTGGGCTGGAGATGAATGTCCTGCAGGAAAACCATTTCACTGGTCTGAAATTGCTTCCAGAATGTACACGAATGTATGCTTCTGTCCCCAGAGCACTGTATAAAAGAACCACTTCCCCCTCCCCGCTCCTTTCCCCACACTCAGTATTTTCTGCCCAGTGTGCAGCCAACAGAAGTCCTGGGTTCCAGATGCCTCTGGCCCACCACACTCAGGCAGTCTCACAAACAAGGGCTGAGCAAGACCTTAGTAAGAATTGAAAGAGCATGCATGTTTGGGGGTGGAGACAGACCCCAAGCGCCTACATGCTACCTTTTTTTGGCAGAAAGTTGTCTTGGTACATAGCCATTTTCTTTTCCTGTCTCCATCTCCTCCACCCTTTATTCCACCTCCTTTTTTGAATAATAATTGTTAACACTTAATGAGCACTTACTATGCACCAGACCCTCTGGGAAGTGCTTAACCTAGTTGTCTCGTTTAGGCTTGCAGACTTCATTGGGTGATCTTTATAGTGCCAGACTTTTTGCAGATGTGTGTGTGTGGGGGGGGGGGTCAGGCTCAAAAGTGTAAATGAGGGCTGGAGAGACGACTCAGGTAAGAGCGTGTGCTGTTCTTGTAGAGGACCCGGGTTTGGTTCCTAGAACCTAGTCTCCGTAGCTCACAAGCCACCTGTGATTACAGCCCCAGGGGACCCAGTGCTGCCTTCTTGTGTCTGCAGACCCCTGCACACATGTGCATATACTCCTCCACACGCACATAAACAAATATGCATGTGCATAATTTAAATGAAATAAAAATCTGTTTTTTTTTTTAATTATTTGGTCAAAGTCAGAGCCTTCGACTGAACTCAGATGAGCTGTCCTTATTTCAACTCTTGGTAATATTTTTTCACATGGTTCCTATTGTAAAACTTAGATGGGTATTGCATAATCAGGAGGAATTTGAAGAGTGCCAGTTAACTAACGGCCGTCTCCCTATACCTTTCTCTCAACCTAGCTGCCTTCTGCTTTCAAATGGTTTTTTTTTTCATACTTTTAACCTTCCTTTAATTTTATCCTTACAGGTATCTGATCAATGTCACTTTCGAGGGGAGAAACCTGTCCTTCAGTGAAGATGGCTATCAGATGCACCCGAAGCTGGTCATAATCCTTCTGAACAAGGAGAGGAAGTGGGAGAGGGTAGGACACTTCTTTGACAATCCTTGGGCTGAGCAGAGTCAGGTGTGAGATCCCGACCTAAGAGCAAGCAATATAATACCTCCAAGGAAAGCAGCCTCTTGGTTTGCTTCTCTGGGCATCAGGAGCAAGAGACTGGAGCTTTGAGAGTACAGGAGAAGCCAGGCCTCAAGCATGTATCCCCATCCTCCTGCTACTCTGGCTAATCTCGGGGCGGTTTTCTTTCTGTTTTGATGGCTGTCGGTGGTTGCTTTGCTTTATAACTCATGTCGGTTGTATTGGGAGATGATATCTACACAAGCCAACAAATTAATTTGCTGAAGACACCAACTAGATAGTGCCAGTTAGAGCTTGTGTCTTCTGGTCCCTGAGGAAACCCATAAACCAGTACGGAAGCAGAAGGGCTGACAGTGTTTCCTGTGACTGATGAGTGGTACCCAGGCTATACTCAGAATCTGCCCTGCTACCAACTGAACGCAGACTTTGAAATTTGACCTTTAGATATTAATTCCCATTGACATCACTGCTCACCCGCTTGCCTATTTGAGACACTGGGGAAAAAAATCTTAACTCTGCAGTCTTTCAGTCTCTTTACTTATAAAATGGGAATTCAATATATTGATATCTATAAAATACTTGGAGCAGAGCCTGGCACACAGTGAGCACTCAATAATCTAGATTCTAGGTTAATATCTAACAGTAATCACTGGGGCTTTCGCAGGTGTGTCCTGCTGGTATTTGTCCCTTGAAACACTCCAACAAATGGTTCTGAAAATAAAATAAATAAGACTGGGAAATGCTATTTACTGCTGTTCAGCCCAAAGGAATCTCAGAACGTATTAGCAATGGGAAAGTTCAGATGTGTCTTGGAACAAAGAGGCATCTTTAACTTTATGTAATATGACATTTCCCAGAATGTTTTTGAGCATGAGAGAACTCTGTTCATAATCATCTTATTCTATGTCAAGCACATGGGGTAACTGATTTCAGACTATGTCCATAGTTGCTATGGACAAGTTGGCTGAGAATAGGTTTCATGATGTCAACATGGTTGCCAGCAGAGGAGAAAGCAAGTACACCCAGCAGCGTGCTGTCACTGTCACAGATTAAGGAGACACACCAACTTTTAGAGAGAAAGAGCTGGTTTCAGTTTATGGACTTTTTCTCCATGCTCACCCGAACCTGTCTACTGGGGTCTCTGGTAAGATGGAACTCATAGTAGGGATCATGTTGAAGGAAGGCCTATTCACCTCAGGGTATCTGGGAAATGAAAGGAAAATATTGAGACCCCAGTATTCTTTCAAAGGCACATTACAGATGACCCAACTTTCTACCCCTAGACCTCATATCCTAAAGGTCCCACCATTTCCAGTCATGCCATAGGCCAACAGCCAAGCCTTTAGTATGTGTACTTTTGGGGAGATTCAGTGTTTATATTGTAGCACCCGTCTGTCTCTCAGACCAAGCAGTCAGACATAAACTCCCCACAACCCACCATGATGTCCCAGAGCCCCTGACAGCTAAGTTATCAGTCGGTTTGTAAACTGGACATTTGTGACTCAGCCAGTGGAAGTCAAAACCCAGCTTTTAATATTGAGAGAGAGAGGCCTCTGTCCGTCATGTTATTATGACATCATCAGATATGACATCATCTGAGTAAAGAGATTGAAATCACACCTGGTGATCTTGGTTGAAGTTATTCTCCCCTCCTGAGTTCCCATTTGATCAGAAAGAGTTGGACCCCGGGCTCAGCTGTCCACCCAGCACTGCTTCTGTCGAGAGTCCATAATTTCTCAAGTGTTCTCATCCCTCCTGTTTAACAGGTACTTCTGCCTGTCTCTAGAAGAGGAGTTATTAATGACAGGGACATCATGAACGGATCAGGAGCTGTGCAGCTGGGGAGCTCTATGCCCTGGGGCCATGATAGCTGTTTCAAGCACTTACCATCTCACAAGTGCCCTTAAAAGTCACTACTTGGAGGCCCCAGAGTTCTCTCGTCCAGGCCCCCAGGTCTGAGGCCTGGGACCCTCATGTCCTTCTACAACTAAGTCTTCCCTCTGGGGGTTGGATCATTTGTAGCATCAACTCTGCCTTTGTTCTGCCTCCTAAATGGAGGCCTACTTTACTGGGCCTCTCTGTCCTGAAACCAGCCTTTGCCCAAATCAGTCTTCCATGTGGCTGCTGGAATGAGCATTCTAAATACAACCATACATTCTTTCCTGGCCCAAATACTTGCTACTGTTAGGGTTTATGGGCCAGGTATGCATTTTATCTGTTCTTGTGTGTTCAAGGCTCTGGTCCACTCTCCAAGGTTTGTTATCTTTTCCTTATCATCTGCATCGGGCTCCATCTGTTCTGAGAATGTACCCTGGTGTGTCCTACTTCATTCACAAGACGCCACATTCTCTTTTCCTGGAGTGAATGAATTGTGCAGTTAAAGAAGTCATTAGAGTTTACTGAAGTCCAATTAAGATGTTGCAGCCCCCTTCCCCAATCCCAGTTGTGGTATGCTGTCTTACCCGCTTGCCCTACAGCTTCGGTTTACATGTTTGTTGCAGCCCCATCGTTGCTGCCCTGAGTTGGGATCGTGAGCCTGCAGGCTCTTAGAGGGCAGAGGCTGTGTCTTTCTTCCTTTCATTGTGTCCTCATAGCAATCTGGATGTATGCGTTGCATAAAGCAGTTCAATAAATATTTGTGGAATGAATGAGAGCCATTACATAATAAGAGAGTCCAGAATCCATCATTAAGAGTCCAAGTTTATGCTATTGCCCTTGATATAATGGCTGTTTTCTTTTTTTAAAAAGGAGGAATAAAACCCTTATGTAGATTGAGTTTTTATAGATCATACTTTAAATGCACCGAAGGAACTCACTTTTTAAAGAATTTCTGTGGCTAATCTTTTTGCTAAGCAGGTGGGGAGGGATTAAGACCTTTGCATACTGAATTGGTTAAACCGGGAAACATTTCTGAGGAGAGGTGCTTAGCGACAGATAAATTTACAGGGCTGTGATGCTCCCAAATTCAGAAGCCCTGGTCACTCACAGGCTCACAGGCCAGAGGAGTAGCAGAAACCAGAAGCCCTGGTCACTCACAGGCAGGGGTGGTAGGGATCAGCCTCAACGCCAGAGTATAGCTTGAAATGCTGGATGGCTTTACCTTATTCTCTCTCTGTTGCTGCAGCCCGCAGAATATTATTTCAAGGTTGCTAGTGTCAGTTCCCCAGGTCCCCTGGCATCCATGGGAACTTAGTGTCTGCGGAATCTTGACCAGTAGGCATGGTGCTGAGCATTCTATGGGGAAAGAGTGAATACCAGAGAAATTAGCAGGGGAGCAACTCAGGTCTTTGGAAGAAAGGTCAACAGCGTCTAATCTGATCACCCACCAACTCTGTGGCCGGACCATTTAGCTCACTTTTCTTGATGATTCTCTTCATTTTTAAAATGATAGCTTTAATGTAAAACACAAAACCAGTGTAAATCCTGTAGAGTTCTAGGCAGCACAGATTCACACTGTAAACAAAGAGAAATGCAGAATATTTGGAAGCACAGCAGCTCCAAGGGCATGGGTGTCATTCTTGCTCTTGTAATTTAGGTAAATAAAGTGTCCCCAGAAAAGCCTTCCCCCAGTGACCTGTGCTAAAGGAGTCACCCAGCTCCTCTGTCACAACAGTCCAATTTAATTTTCTTTCAGTATACATTTTAGCCGGCTTTCCACTTATACACTTGATTGTTTGTTTGTGGCTTATCTCTTCACACCAGAATGGATGTTTGATGAAGACAAGGACCTCATTCACGCCTACAATTGTAACCCTTATGGAGAGTGCCTGGCTCAAAGTGAGCATTCAGAGATCACTGTTTTAAATAAATGAAGCATCCATACACCTGAAAAATTTAGGTGGTTGGCCAGCCATTCCACTTCTAACACACCCGTGCATGTGTGAGTGTACGCGTGTGTATGCGCGCACGCACACACACACACACACACACACACACACACTCACATGCAATCTCCTCTGAGACAGGTTGGGTCTCAGAAGGCAGCCTGAGAGCTGCTGCCTCCTCCCTTTGGAAAGGGCTCTGCTGTGCCTGTGAAAGATCGGGGAGTATCCAGGGGGTTCAGTAGCCAATGGAGGGGTCTGCAGGCTGCTTTAACAAGGAACTGCAGGAAGATCCTCCCCTATGTTGTGAGCAATGCGATGGATTTCATGACATTCCTTTGGTTTTCGAAAGTAATCCTACAGTTGCTTATAAATTTGGCTCCTTAGGAAAAATCCGATGTCAACACAACCTAGTTTATGGTTTCGGAAGTCAGAAAGAACTAGATCCAGTTCCCACGTTGCCATTTATCAGCTGGGAAAGCCTGGAGAAGAGGCCGCTATTACCCCAGCCTATTTCCCTTTAGTGAAATGGGCTTTTACATGAAGTCATTATAAAGATTAAATGAGACTTTATAGTCAAATACCAGTTAATTCTGACTGGAACACAAGCAGAATTCAACAAATGTCTATTGATGGCTACCATACTTCATGGGTAACTTCTCGAAGACATGTTTGCTGTGCTCAAAACTCATGCCAACTGATAATCTAGTAAAAAGAAAACCCGCTCATCACCTTGGAACTGCTTTCCAGGGCTACTGTTCTCACATTCTGGAACCCTCCCCAGGGCAGTTGTTGCCACAATTTCTAATGTATTGCTCTGAAAAGATTTCAAACACATATGCTTTTGATGTATTGACTCAACCTGTTTTTAAGGAAAAAGAAACTGGCCAGGTGGTGGTGATGCACGCCTTTAATCCCAGGACTTGGGAGGCAGAGGCAGGCGGGTCTTAGTGAGTTCGAGGCCAGCCTGGTCTACAGAGTGAGAAACCTGGTCTCAAAACACCAAAAAAAGAAAAAAGAGAACAAGGGGAGGGGGGGGGGGGGGGGGAGAGAGAGAGAGAGAGAGAGAGAGAGAGAGAGAAAGCAAGCAAGCAAGGAAGAAAGTGGATTTGCTCTTAGGAACCT